ATAGAGATCTGCTTAAGGATATAAATACCGCTGCATTCGGGCTTACGCTGACAACGGCACGATTATTTGCTGTTTGTATAGATTGGTTAGTGGCCATCTTTGTGTCAATTGTGGCTTTCTGTAGTGTCATTAGTACCGGTGGGTTCACAACAATTACTGCTTTGAAATCTATTCATCATCTTTTTTCTGTAGTAACCATGAGTTCCGGAGAAGTGGCTTTGATGTTAGTATATGCTGTACAGCTTACGGGTTTCTTCTCATGGATAATGCGACAGTCGGCTGAGTTACAGAACGGAGTAAGTACCTTTGTTCTTTATCGGCATGCTTATGAACAAATCCGCATTTGACAGATGGTATCCGTGGAAAGGATTGTACAGTACACGGAACTCGAATCTGAACACGATGATACTCAAGCTGAGGAAGTACCAAAATCCTGGCCTAGCGAAGGCCACATTACGGTATCGCTCTTGGAAAGTTTGTCGTACAAGGAGAAGGTAACAAAATTTAGATTACGAACATGAGCATGAAATACGACGAAGATGGAGAATACGTTTTGAAGAACGTTTCGCTAGATATCAAACCAAAGGAAAAGGTCCGTATCTCGTTTTTTGAGCGATTTGATCCTCTCAGCAATGTTATTTTGAGATTGGCATCGTTGGGCGCACAGGTGCAGGAAAGTCTTCTTTATTGCGAGCACTATTTCGACTTACCCCTCCCGTCTCTGGAAATGTCATGATTGATGGTGTGGACACAGCCACATTGCCGTTGAAAGTGCTGCGTAGAGGAATCGCCATAATTCCACAGGTGCCTGAATAAGCTCGCCTTGTTTCTTCCAAATTTAGTTTGCAATCTCTAGGAACCGATTCTTTTCATTGGAAGCTTGCGAAGAAATCTTGATCCCTTCAACCAGTACAGTGATGAGGAATTGTGGCGTGTCTTGGAACAGGTTCGTATCATCATGCATACAGAGTAGATATGAGTAAACATTGTTATGTTTAGGTTGAGTTGAAACCCGTAGTAATGGAATTACCTGGTGGTTTGGAAACTCCAATGCACGAAGGTGGATCGAATTTCTCTGTAAGGAACTTCATCTATTTTTGTTTTCTCCTTGAAAATACGAATTTAGCTTGTAAATGTGTTAGTTCTAAAATAGCAGTGCCTCTATAGCGATTCTTGGGTCTCATCGCTGCGGCTAAACTGATTGAATTTTTTACCTGCTTGG